TTCTTTTTCACAATATGAAATTAATTCATTTCTATCATTTTCATTTGATTTTAATCGAAGAAGACAATCAAGTAATACTTGAAAAAATGCAAATTGACCATTGATTCCTGTTGTTGATTTTCCTGCATCACTTATTGTTGTAAATATATTCATCCATACAGGTTCTTCCATTTTTCGAGGATTTTTATGATCTTTACGGATTTGTGAAACCAGTTCATCCATTTTAACATGAATACCTTTTACCTAGAAAAATCATTATTGAAACTAAACTTTATTAATACTTTTTTGTTTACCTTGGGAAAATCATTTGTCCATTGTTTATCTTGTGAATTGATATAAATTGATGAAATTTGTCTTGATTGATGAATTGAAGGAATAATTTGTCGACCGAATTCACCGTTAGTAACAAGAACTAATCGATCATTTTCTGATGTTGTTTCAATATAACTTTTACATTCTTCAACATCATGAAATATTTCAATATGATTAATTATATTACGTAATTCTGTTTGGATGTCAACATTCTCATTATTATTAAGCCACATAAGACTAAAGCTTTCAAGATGATTGTGATTTCTTTTTTTAATAGATTCGTTTGGAGTTTCAAGAATTGGAATCGTTTCCATTATTTTGCAAAATAACGTTGTGAATTGATCGAAGAAAAGAATAATCTAAAATCATGTAGAAATAAGAAAAATACTTACGATTGAGCTTAAAATGTCTTGAGAATATCGAATCTAATTTTTCTTTCTCCCATGAGATATTATACAGAAAATTATCGATGGGAAAGAATGGATAAGTAAATACATAACGAACTAAAATAGAAAAAGATCAGGGTTGTTGATAGATTCATGATCGAAACTTTGTGATAACACAAGAAAATATTTATCTCAATAATTCAAGGAAAGAAAAGATTTGATAAGAAATACGATTTTCTTTCTCTTCTACAAATGATGATATTCTTTCGAATATTAAATATAATAAAACCAAATGACAAATAACACGTATAGCAATGATCGAATAACAAACAATAAGATCAATAAAGATGTACGAGAAATCGATGTAGGTGTAGCTGTTCCAAAATACGCGTAATCGCGCCCATCCACACTCATCCTCAAGATGTGATGTCACAGTACAGTACACTGATAGAGCTACACAGATAATGATCTAATTCATTATAGAAATTCGTTTATTCAACGCCTATATAACTCATCTCCCAATCATATTTCTATTAAACATAAGCATTTAATATCTCAACAGCCGAACCTATAGATGATAGTGATACTTGATTGCCTTTTGACTAGTTTATCGAGCTGTGAATGGAACCCTGGTTTAGCAAAGAGCTCAGAGTCTATAGAATATTTTATCAACAACTTCTTTGTAGGATAATTGGCAGTCATAATTCAAATAATATCGAGTAATAAAATGTATATGATCTTGTCAAACATGGTTCAAATCTTCAATATTTTAAAACTTCTTCTCTGACTTTTATGAAATAACATTCATACCTGTGATTGTGTATCAGTATGTTGTTTTTGTTTTGAAAAAAAAAATATGAAAGATCAAATAGTAACCATCCTCTTATATATAGTTCTTCTTTTTCTTTTTTATTTTAACTTCGAATATGGTATCTCTAAGTTGTTTTTCACTTTATGATACGTATCTATTACATTTTATTTATAATAAAGAAGAAAAAGACCTTTAAAAAATAGCTACGATTGATTGCAAAAAGGTAATTTAAAATATTATCTTTTAACACGTAGTATGATTATGATCATGAAATGAGAAAAAACAAAAAAAAATTGATTATTGTCACCAAATACAAATACTCAAATACAATTCTATCCAAAATAAAATCGTCTTTTTGAATAATTTTATTTAATTCAGTTCAAATTACAGAATATTTTCTTTATTTTTCTCCTATGAAATTCGACAAAATTGACAGAAGATGAGGAATTCGATATGTATTTACTCGAATTCCTTAATCAAAATTATCAAATTAAATTCCATTTTGAAGAAAAAAAAATCAAAATGAGTTTTCTTATCAGAAATTTCTTTTTCGTCAAAATTTTATTAGATTATTTCATTGATTCTCAACAATAAAACTTTATTTTTTCTTTTATTTCGTGATCATTTATTCAATAAAAAATCTCTTTTCTTTATTTCAAAATCATAACTTCATTCACTCAATTATTTCAAACTTTTGAATTCGATGATTAAGAGAATCAGCAACATAAAGATTTCCTTCATCATCAAGAGATAAACCACTGGGATGAAGCAATTGATTTGATCGATTGCCTCGGCCATTTCCACCAACAATAATTTCACCCTTTTGTTTTCCTTCACACCAACGCATTATTCGATGATTCTCACAATCTGCTACATAGATTTGATCCAAATCATCAACAATTACTCCTCGTGATCGAGACAATTGATTGAGATTTTCTCCGTTACCATTTCCTCCAGCCACAATTCTTCCTTGTTTTGCATCGTTTCTCCATTTCATTACGCGATGATTGTGGTGATCTGATACATAAACAGATTGATCATCATCAACAAAGATAAAAGTAGGAGTATTCAGTTGATTAAGCTTATTTCCTTTTCTATTTCCACCTGCCACTACAATTCCTTCATTCTTTTCTCCCATTTTCCATCGTCTCACTTCATGCTTCTTATAATCAGAAACATAAAGAAATCCATATTTATCCGTTGCCAAGCCATAACAAGTAATATTGTGAATGAGAATTTGTTGCTTTTGATTCAACCATCGAACCACTCGTCTGTTCCCTTTATCAGCAATGATGATCGAATGATTTTGTTGATCAATAATCATATCTGTTGGATAATTCAATTGATGTATTCGATATCCTTGTCCATTTCCACCTGCAATGATTAGTCCTTCTTTTGCATTACATTTCCATTCAACAATGCGATGATTCCCGTAATCACCAATGAAGATATTTTTCTTTTCATTAATAAAGATTTCCCCAGGACGCTTGAGTTGATTTAAATTTTGTCCTTCTGCATTTCCACCAGCCACAGTGATGGCATTTTGTTTCCATTTATTGAGTTTTGATTCTAGAAAAAGATGAAAATAAAAGACTTTGATGAAAAGAAGACGAAGAAGAAAATTCATTTGTTCATTGAACAAAAAAGGAAAAAATCTTTCAGTAGTTTTTTGAATAAAATTTAGTAAAATGAGAAGAAGAAATATTTTCTTTCGAAAAGGAAAAAGCATTTGAAATTTATTGATTTTCGAATCGAAACTTTGAAAAGAAAGAATATTCTTATTGAAACATAGTTTATGTGTAAAACTAATTGATAAATATTTAATTTGAAAATAAATAAAAATTGAAAATGAGAAAAGACTTCGTGGACTTATTTTTGTTAAATAAAAATTTGATAATAACTCAATTCTATTTTTATTAATCAAGCATATATTTTCAAACTCAGAGGAAAAATTAATTTTTTAATTTAGTAGTATTTCATATCCTATCATTCTTTTTTGTTACATACAATTAAATTCAATTTTCTATTTCTATCAATTCTATTATTATTGGCTAAATAAATCAATAATATTCTTAATTTTTTTTCTTTTCTTCATTATTCTTTTTCATTGTATTACAGTTTTTCATATAATTTCATCGAAATTTAGTATGTTTGTTTTAGAAATTATTTCTAAAAAACTTACTTTTTTCTAATGAAATAATTGAAATTTCGTTAATAAATGCTTGTGAATCTTGTTGAATAGAAATCTTTGAAGGATTATTTAATTCTTGTGTAATTTTTGTTAATTGATCTCTTAGATGATTTAACTCAATTTCATTAAAGTCATTTTCTTTCTGAAGTTGTTGTATTTGTTTATTTAACTCATTAAATTTCATTTCAATATCATTAGTTAATAGTTTTAATGATTTAATGATAGTTTCTCTACAATCTTGTGCTTTTTGTTTAATTTTTTCAATTGAAAGTATTTCCCATTGATCTATTTGTTTTATTAATGAATGATTATATGGATTTTGTTGTTGTTCATTAATTCTTTCTTTAAATTCGTTATAATCATCAATAATATGATGTAATTCTTCATTTAATCTTTGGTGATGTTCTGGTATATGTATAAAACAAAAGCGTTTTGAACATCCTTCACATGGATATGTAATTTTTTCTTTATTACATGTAAAACATTGTGTTTTTTTATTTGCCATTGCCATGTCTTTGAATAAAAGTCTATAAAAGAAATGAATATCTATTTATGTACTTTTTTAGCTATAAACTTAAGCACGTGCTTATGTACGCACGTGTACAAGGTTAGTCGGCTATGTATACACAAATATATGTAGCTGACTAACTATTTACATAGATAGGTATAATCATTTTACTAGTAAATATAAAATTATACTATTCTCCTATATGTATTTCTTTGTTAATATAAACTAAATATCTTCTCTTTTTAATAATTTCATTTAACTCTATGTCATGCATTTTGTATTTTAAAATAAAATTCGTAATGTAGTCGAGCCGATTATTGATTATGAAAAAGATTGCATTCAAATGATGAAATAGACATTGGTTTTTATGTATTGTCTCAACTGGGTATATATTTATTCCATCAGTATTATTCCCTTTATATTTTTTTTAACTAATCGTAATTAGTATTTAATTAATAACTTTATTATTTCGTCGATATATAAAAGATGCATGACTGAACAACGTCTATGCTTTATATAAAAGAGACGCATAGTTTCCATTCATTAAATTGATTCTTGTAAAATGACATGATCTTTTAACAGCATTGTTATACTGTGAATCATTCGTAATGGATATTTCTCTTTCTTCTATTCTACATATCGTAAGATGACAAATACGATCCTATAGATATATGTATCTACTTCTTTTCTTTTCTCAACAAATGTGGCTTTTTATATTAGATGCAAAGAATGAATAAGATAGACTTTTTAATGCTATAATAGTATTCCATTTAATACTATAAATTGGTATACAGAAAAATGATATAATCAAAAGAAAATAGAAACACAGATACTAGAATTTCCTTCAAATTTCAAAAGAGTAAGCATTAGAAATGCGTTCAAGTTAATTGATCTTAATTTAACTTAATTTGTTTTTGAATGATTGCGTAATTGTACTGTTTAACTTATACTAATAAAGAAATACGTATAAGATATAAGAATATAACTATATATTTACTAATAAAATAGTTATACCGGCTTGTGTGTGCATAAACACTTCCTGAATTTAATAACTCAATGATAATCAAAACGTTGTTGAGTAGTTGAAAAATCGAGAAAGAATTTTTTAATGAGAAAATCTCACTGATAAAATTAATATAATATCTAAAATAGTTAGACTAAAATTTGAAAATTGATTTCATTTTGATTTCGAATAAAAATACAAATGATTTATATGATGTTTTTTCAATGAAAGAACGTTTTAATATATATTTCACCGTCTTTTCTGTTAAGTATTTATTGTATCGAAATATAATTGAAAGAGTATAGATATGATCAGTTCTAGACATTATCATCTGATATTGACTTCTGTTTTAAAGAGCACATTTGAAAACATAAAAAATACTTGTTCTGAAACGTATTTAATTTTAGAAAAGATTATGACAGTCGGATTCATCGCAATAACTTACTTAATATTTCACTCTGCTTTGTCTTGTCTTCTATAAGGGTGTGGGTGTTTGAGAAAAGAAAAAGCATTCACATTTGGGCTAACTAACATAATTACCCACATCCTCAAATAAATACTAATCTATTCTAATATATATATATTTATTATTTATCTATTAAGATTTAACTAAATCAATGTCGAATTCATCAATAGTTGATACTGCTCAATTATTAACATCATTATTAATTCGTATACTATCCGTTGGTTTTCTTATTGATCCAACATCAATATCATGCTTTTGTAAAACACGAATGTTTTTTGCACAATTTTCTATACTTGTTGCACTTGGATGTATGTCATTAACGACAATGATGTAGTTTACAATCAATTCATCGTTATATTTTTATTACTTGTATTATGGCAATTATACATGCAATTCTCTTTTCTATTTATTATGATACACGAGCTAGTATATCTACAATAATCAGTTCAAATTTTGCAAAATATTATTCTTATGTTTATATTCCAGTTGTTATTGGTATTCTACCGATTATAATAATGATTACATTTGCATTATTAACTTTTATAAGTATTCGTACAATTGCTAGTCGTAATATTTATATTGAACGTTTAGGACGTGATTGTCAATTAACAGCGATGACATTGATTTATGTTGTATCTATTATGTTTTTTTATTATGTATAATATGCTGTAAGATTTAAAGTTAGATAAATAGTAAAGAAGAAACATTTTTATTTAATTATAGGTTCGTAATCAAGTTATTTATGTATTGATTGATGTACATTTCAAACGATTTCGACAAGCAGCAAATAAATTAACTAATAATCAAGTTACACCTGGAATGGAAATGAATTGATTAACAATTGATAATGATCAACATATATGTATATAATTATTATTAATTGTTTTTTTAATGCTGTGCGTTATATTTTCTAAATATATCTAATTCATCTAATATTTATTCGTTTTTAATAATAATTAGAATTCCACTCCAGTTTGATAAGTCGAGTTTGTTTCAATACGATCTACTACTTCTCTTTTTTGAGTTTTATTTTCCTATCAAAACAAACACAAAGAAATTATAATTTCTTTTTCATGTCTTCAAAGTTTTTTCTCCACTGTTGAAGATTAGGATGATTTATTGGTAATGATTGTTGTCCAATCTGTACAGCACGTCTATAAAATGAATGCGCTTTTGAATAGTTGCCCATATTCCCATAAACCAAACTGATGTTGTTATAAGACATAGCCAAATCAGAATGATTGGAAGGAAGTGACTGTTGTTGAATTTCAAAAGCTTTTTCATGAGATGAAAGCGCTTTTGGATAATCACCCATGCTGTTATATACATTACCGATGTTGCCATAAGAACTACCTAAATGAAGATGATTGGGAGGAAGCGATTCTTGTCGAATTGTAATAGCTTTTTCATGATAAGAAAGTGCTTTTGGATAATCACCCATGTCGTGATACACATTACCGATGTTGTTATAGGAACGACCCAAATGAGGATGATTGGAAGGAAGTGATTGTTGTTGAATGGTAAGGGCTTTTTCATGAGATGAAAGTGCTTTTGGATAATCACCCATGTTGTAATACATCACACCGATGTTGTTATGCGAATTCGCCAAATCAGGATGATTGGAAGGAAGTGATTGTTGTTTGATTGCAAGAGCTTTTTCATAGTAAGAGAGTGCTTTTGGATAATCACCCATGTTTCTATACACCAAACCGATGTTGTTATAGGAACCACCCAAATGAGGATGATTGAAAGGAAGTGATTGTTGTTGAATTGTAAAGGCTTCTTCATAAGATGAAAGTGCTTTTGAATAGTCACCCATGTGTCTATACACATTACCGATATTTTTATAGGAAGAACCCAAATGAGGATGATTGAAAGGAAGTGATTGTTGTCGAATTGCAAGGGCTTTTTCATGAGATGAAAGTGCTTTTGGATAATCGCCCATGTTGTCATACACCAAACCGATGTTGTTATAGGAATTAGCCAAATCAGGATGAGTGGAAGGAAGTGATTGTTGTTGAATTGCAAGGGCTTTTTCATGAGATAAAAGTGCTTCTTGATATTCTCCTTGATTATCTTTGATCCAACCTAGTTGATAATAAATCGGTGCCTTGTCACTCTCATTTGTTGTTTGATTAAGTAAAACTTCATACACTTCTTGAGCCTTATCAGACTGGCCCATTTTAATTAGCAATTGACCTAGTCTGTACCATCCTTTCGAATCTGGAAAGGTCTCCTGCCGCATCTGATCAGTGAGAGTACGAAGATCTTGGTCGTTGTCATTGGTCAATGTTAAATTCACTTGAAAGACATTATTATTTTCATCCATTGGTTTAATATCTCCAATACGAAAAACGGTATGCATAGAAAAGAGGATTTCATCTTCCATATCAAAATTACTAACATCACTAATAGAAGCAAATGGAGTTGTTGAATCAGTCGGATTAATTGACATAACAAATAAAATTCCAACGAGATCATGATTTGTAACAGGTTGTGATGTAAAACAGAGAGAAACATCACGATTTGTACTAGTGGATAAAAAGTTATTGAATGAAAGAAGTCCACCTTTAGTTTTTGTCATTTCGATGAAATCTTCTTTTGAAAGGCATTGTCCACGATAAACTGTAAATGTTCTACCAAATTGTTGACCAAGAAATTGTTCCGAATGAAGTCGTTGAATATCACGATGTAGATCATTAATAAAGAAACCCATTCGAACAATTATATCAGCATTCATTAATCTTAATGCTTGATTAAGCATCGAATATAAAAAACATTGATAAGTGTACCACCAAATCGGTGTTCGATCATGATAGTCACGTTCCAATTTTTCAATATTATGTAAATCATAATCATTTTCGACAAATGCTTCACAACAATAAGTAATAAATTCTTTAATATGTTTATCTTCGAAGTCGATGGTCAATAAGATCTCTTTCAAGATCTGGGTATACATAAATGATGGATCTAATTGATCCAGCTTTTTGTTTGATGCCACAAAGCTGATTGAAATGGCATTTTGCTCACATTGGTGAGTAATTTGTTTAAGAGCTTCACAGATTGATGTTATATCTGAGAAGACTCCTTTTATTTTAGGCCATTCTTTGGCCCATTGTTTATCCAATTCTTGATTCTTATAAAAAATAAAAATGGTATCCACTTGGGGTATATCATGCACATGAGGCACAATATCTTGTGCAAGTGACTCGGAGACAATCAAGCATACTTTGTTATCGGTAATGGTTTGAATAAATTCAATACATTCTTCACCATTTGTAAACGTATTTACGTTGTTAACAACACGTTTAAATTGTTTGATTGTATTATTACAATCAGTATTATAATCATCAATATTGCTGTCCAACCAAATAAGGAAGACATTTTCCATTCTGTCCATATATATACGTCGGTTTGAAGTTACACTTGATTGACTAGTTGCCATTGGTTCTGATTATTTGCTAGTTGTACTAAAAATGTGTTGTATTTGAGTACCTTGAAAAACTTTTTGAGTGAAAGATTGATTAAAGTAGCTCATTTTATGCTGTCTCTATTTTCTATGAATTGGACGACAACGCCTTTTTCATTAAAAATTATAGATGTTTATTATGAAACCAAACGAAGATCAACACACACACATTCCTCATTAATAAGCAAAGACCGAAAAAGAAATGTTTAAGTGTTTGTACACTTGTCAGCCATTAAAATAATCAGCGACAAGAAATATTACTACGTATTTTGACGAAGAGAAAACCAATATCTAGGGTTGTTTTCTTTCTGCTCTCATGTCTCATGTTATTGAAGACCCTAAAGTTGGAATTAGTTATATTATTGTACACATTATAATTTGTAAAAATTATCAAAATATTGCTGTTCAAATATAAAACACTTATATTTCTTTCTTTCTATGATCAAATATATAAAACACAGAGGAAACAATTTAAATTAGTAGTTATTTGTCGTTCTTATAAATTTTGTTTTTTTTGTTACTACTCAATAACGATATACGAAATATTATGCAGTGATATATAAAAACATTGAAAAGAAATCATGACAAATAGTAGATATAAAATAAACGAAGTAAAAAGAGCACTATGGTCGTTACTGTGTCAGCGAGACAAATACAACTAATAAAAGAGAACTGTATTGTATATTATTTTTTATAATATCCGTCATAGAAGTGACTGAAAATGAAGTAAAATATAAGTATATAATGAAAGAAACAGGCAACAGTTAAATTTTATAAGAAAATCAAGTTTTATCCATCTTG